GGGGGGGGTTGGCGGGTAGGGGGGCACATTAAGGAACCTGGCCTTGGGGCAGCAGAGAGAGTAAATCTGGTCCTGGATGTCATCACAAAATTCAGCTTCTGGAGAAGACAACCCTGACATAGGGCCGAGGAACGGATGGAGCCAAGTATGGTCCGTGGTCTGTGTGGGGAGGGGGGAGACAAACCACTTGGGTACAAATACTAAAAACCACCCATGTTGACCTCCAATGACAATCAATTTACACCTTGCCAACTGTGAAGCCTGGAGGAGGATCTCTCTGGTCCAATAGACCATCAGCACAATCCAAACCCAACTCAGAGTCAGCTGTGGTCTCCTCCGCCGTCCTCTACGCCGTCCACATTACTGAGTATCTTTCGGTGGACCTCAAACATCTCGTACGTGAAAGACGACCTCAGAAGATCTCTGAACCAGACTCGGGTGGGGAGAACTTCTAATGTCAGAGTAGACGGACTCTACAACGGGGTGAAGGGTTTGATTTGTGGTGGGGAATGTTTCTAATGACGGACAGGAAGTCCAGACTTTGCACATATCTGATGATTTTGGTGAATTCAGCAGACAGACAACGTGGAGGAATCTGCAGGAAGCGCTCATGTTGGTTCCACTTCCCTGCAGAACTTCCCTTCACATAGACAACCCCCAATGAGGCCAAGAGAGTCCGAACCTCCGCATTGGAGTCCAGTCTTCCCTCTGGCAGTGTGTAACATAGTATATGGAATCTTCCCACAGGTCCTGACCCCTCCCCCGACCATGAAAGGAAGCCGCAGGTACAAGCATGTTATCGAGACCCCGGACCCCGGGAAGTGGGAGGTAAGAAGACTACAGGTGACATTATGTGACACGTGACATATAACACGGATGTGACATGTGACCTCCTCACCACGGTCCCCAGCTGGCCGGGTATGAGGAGTCTCTTCCCATCAGTGAGAAGTCCAATCCCATCACCCGAGAACTGGACAAGGCCGACCCCAACCAGATGGTGCAACTCCTACGGGACTGCGACGCCGAAATATTTCAGGAGGAGGACGAGACCATCATCACCTATCAGGTGAGAGGACAACGGGACTCAGACTCTGTACAGAGGAGCTTACACTCTAATGTCCCCTCCCCCCCACAGTCACATCAGTCTCTGTACAGAGGAGCTTACACTCTAATGTCCCCTCCCCCACAGTCACATCAGTCTCTGTACAGAGGAGCTTACACTCTAATGTCCCAGGGGCCTGGACTAGGTATAGATGTGACCTTGTAGCGGGGGAGGGGTCTCTATTGGTTCTGATGCGATTGATCATTATATATGTATTATTGATTATCACCCCGGTCTCCCCTCCCCCGCAGAGGCTGTACAGTGAGTCCGTCCTGAAGACGGTGGGAGACATCGCCAAGCGTGTGCAGGAGATCATAGAGGTAACATGACGCATCACTCGGGTCCCTGGGGGGGGGGGGGGTATGGGAGCTATAACGAGCCACGTCGATGTTATTGGAAGTTTATAAACTGATACATCATCAATGATATTGAATATTGATTACATAGAATATACATGCAGCGCGGCCGGCTCCCATCACACGGCACCTCTCTGATGAGAAAGCCCAGCACTAGCTCTGCACCTACTGACGGCTCTCTCTTCTGACTCCTGCGGGTCAGATCTGATGTCCTGCTATACAAGACTATTCACAGCACAGCAGTAAAGGAGCCTTCATAAAATCCCGAGAGCCGCCGTCGCCTCGTGCCGGCCGCAACTGTCAAATATAACGTGTCCAGACTCCATGTTTCCTTCTCTCTTCCGTGCAGAACCCCGACGACGGCCTCATCGTCCTCAGCGGGTGCGGCACGTCCGGTCGCTTGGCGCTGCTCCTGGCGGTAAGCGTGACAATTCACATAGAGGGGCACATAGGGGTCATGTGATCGCCTGAAGCCAGGTTGCAGTCTCTGATGTCACGCAACACCCGCAATGCTCGCGGTAGGGAGAGACCACCTGACCTTTCCCTTCGAGGGGCGTTGACCTTCATCGTGCCACAAGAGGCTCCTACTCAGAATTCAAATGTGATTTGTCAACGGAGACTTACCGCTGACGGACCCCCTGGGTGCCCCCCCCGCAGGGTCACGACCTCGACGGGTCACCCATAAGGACCGGCCCGTGTTCATTCCAACGATCCCCAAATACGTCTGCCGGGTATGACACTGGACGGCCACTAGAGGGCACATTGTACACACACGAGGGCCACAGAAGGTCAATGATGTCACCAGCAGCAACTATGGGGTGGGGGAATGCCCCGGACAAGGCTGGATGGGCCGGCACTGGTAGCTTCTGTCCGGGTTTGGATGACCTCCAGTTCCCGGGACTCAGGGGGTCAAATAATTAAACATTTCCTAAAAGTTGAAGGACCTTTCCGGGGCCCTCGGGAGCCTTGAAAAGCCCATCGCACCCTCAGAAACCCCCCAAAGAACACCCTCATTTCATCTCCCCCATTAACTCCAATAGATTTCAATGTTCATTGAAGCGTCCCGACTGCCACCAAAATTTGGGTAAAATTTGCTCCTCTACCCAACACATTTCCGAAATTAGAACTTACTGACCCCTCCCCCCCCCCCACGTATGGCTTTCCCCTCACCCGCTGCAAAACGCCC